CATACGGTTTTTCTCAATCAAAATGTGCCCCTCGACGCTCGCACCCTGTCCTTTAGCAGGGGAAGTCTTGAGGCTCAAACTGGGCCCCTGGCCCCCTGGTTACAACAACAACGGTTCCCGCCTGAGACTTCCTCCAAATTTACTCGGGGCCCCCGCTCCCGCCCGAGACGTCCTCGCATTTTACTCAGGAGTCGCGCTCTCGCTTGGGGTCTCCTGACAATTTATTCAGGAATCGTTCTCCCGGCGCTCTGGGGTCGCGCTCTCGCTGGAGACTTGCTTGCAAGTCACTGAAGAATAGCGTCCTTGCGTTGGAATTTCTTGCGATTTACCCAAGCGCCGCGCTCCCGACACCCAGGCGCCCAGGAGTCGCGCTCACGCGTAGGATTCCTTCACAGATTACCTAGGAATCAGGATCTCGCTGCCCTTCGTGGCCTCGTTGCAGCCCTTCGTGGCCCCCTCGCTTTGTTTCGTGGCCCCGGTACATCCCTTCGTGGCCCCCTTGCTGCCCTTCGTGGCCCCGTTGCAGCCCCTCGTGGCCTCCTCGCTGCCTTTCGTGGCCCCGTTGCAGCCCTTCGTGGCCCCCTCGCTTTGTTTCGTGGCTCCGTTGCAGCCCTTCGTGGCCCCCTCGTTGCCCTTCGTGGCCCCGTCGCAGCCCTTCGTGGCCCAGTTGCAGCCCTTCGTGGCCCCCTCGCTGTCCTTCGTGGCCCCGGTGCATCCCTTCGTGGCCCCCTCGCTACCCTTCGTGGCCTCATCTATGTATGCCCTTGGTGGCCCCCGTTTGCTCGCGCCCGTCGTGGCCCCATACGCATGCTCTTCGTGGCCCCGCTGTCGCCCTTCGTGGCCCCCTCGCTGCTCTTCGTGGCCCCGTTGCTGCCCTCAGTTGCCCCGTCCTTGCCCACCGCGGCCCAGTATACGTATGCCCTTCGTGGCCCCCACTCGTTCGCGCCCGTTGTGGCCCCATGTGCATGCCCTTCGTGGCCCCGCTGTCGCCGTTTGTGGCCCCCTCACTGTCCTACGTGGCCCAGTTGCTACCCTCAGTGACCCCATCGTTGCCTTCTGTGGCCCCGCACAATCTGCCCTTCGTGGCCCCCGCTCGTTCGCGCTCTTCGTGGCCCCATGCGCATTCCCTTCGTGTCCCCGCTGTCGCCCTTCGTGGCCTAATTCGTGTCCTTTTGGCCCTGCTGTCGTTGTCTCTCGCTATCGCTTTCGCTTGTCGTGGTCGTCGCCGTCGTCGTCGTCGTCGTCTTCGCCGTCGTCGTCGTCGACGTCGTCGTCGTCGTTTCGTGGTCGGTCCCCTGTCCGTCCCTTTTGGGGTCGGGTCGACGGTCCGCGGCCGCCCAGCCGATCAACGCTGCCGTTGGCCAGGCCGACGGTCCGCGGCCGCCCCGCCGTTTGCCGGGGCCCGACCTGCAGGGAAGAAAGGTATACCCCTCAAAAGGGGCTTGATCGAAGACAAAGAGGGCGGGTATCGAGGGTTTGGGAAATACGCGTTATTGGACATTCGAGCAGATAAGGGCGATCAGTCTTAAACTGTTTGTTGTTGCTGTTGCTGTTGCTGTTGCTGTTGCTGTTGCTGTTGTTGTTGTTGTTGTTGTTGTTGTTGTTGTTGAACTCTCATTCTTGAAGAATAATTATTGTTGGTCCCCCCCGCCGGTGCACATTGATATTTTTTCGATTGAAGTGCCACCCCCGGGGCTCGCACCTGGTTTTTTCTCAAGGAAAGTCTTCCTGCTCAAACTGTGCCCCTGCCCCCCGGGCTACAACAACAACGGCTCCCGCCTGAGACTTCCTCGATTTTTACTCAGGACCCCCGCTCCCGCCTGAGACTTCCGCGCAATTTACTCAGGAAAGGCGCTCCCGTTTGAGACTTCCTCGCAATGTAATCAAGACCCCCGCTCCCGCCTGAGACTTCCGTGCAATTTACGTGGGAACGGCGCTCCCGCTTGAGACTTCTTCGAATTTTACTCAGGACCCCCGCTCCTGCCTGACATTTCCGCGCAATTGACTCAGGAACGGCGCTCCCGCCTGAGACTTCTTCGCAATTTAGTGAGGACCCCCGCTCCCGCCTGAGACTTCCGTGCAATTTGCTCAGGAACGGCGCTCCCGCTTGAGACTTCCTCGCAACTTAGTCAGGGCCCCCGCTTCCGCCTGAGATTTCCTCACAATGTACTCAGGACTGCGCTCTCGCGTGCGACGTCCTCGCAAATTATTCTGGAATTGCGTTTCGGCGCTCAGGAACCACGCGCGCGCCAAGGACGCCTTCACAACGTGGTATCTTCCCTCTTCCTTCGTCCTTCCCCCTCCCCTTCCTCCCACTCTCCCTCGTTCTTCCCCTCCTCCTCTTGCAGGGCCCGCGCCAATTCCAATGGCGGGCAGAGAGATGTACGCCCCCGAAGGATTGTCCGCCCGTTCCGGTTTGCCCGTACGTCTAAGCCCGCCGGCCCCAGCAAAGAGAAATAATCCCCCCGAAAAGGGTGTGATCGAAGACGAAGAGGGCGGGTATCGAGGGTGTAGGGTATATATACGTGTTGAATGACTCGCGGGCAAGTAAGAGCGTACAGCCTTAAAATGGTTGTTGTTGTTGTTGTTGTTGTTGTTGTTGTTGTTGTTGTTGTTGTTGTTGTTGTTGAATCCTCATGTCTGAAAAATACTAATTGTTGACCCCCCGCCCGGTGCACATTGTATTATCTCGATTGAAGTGCCCCTGCAGGACTCACGTTTCAACGACCCGCCCGCTCGACCCGCCCGTCGGGGCCTGCCCGCCCGACCAGCCCGTTAATGACTACAGTCGCCGCTCGCTGCCCTTCGCCCGCCTTCGATGCCCCTCGCTGCCCGCGCTGGTTCCGCGGTCGCTTTCGCTCGCTGCCCTTCGTGGCCCCGTTGCTGCCCTCAGTGGTTCCGTCGCTGCCCTTGTTGGCCCCGCATTATATGCCCTTCGTGGCCCCCGCTCGCACGCGCCCGTCGTGGCCCCATACGCATTCCCTTCGTAGCCCCGCTGTCGCCCTTCGTGGCCCCCTCGCTGCCCCTCGTGGCCCCTGTGTTGCGCTCGCTGGCCTCGCTGTCGCTTTTTCTGGCCCCGTATACGAATGCCCTTCGTGGCCCCCGTTTGCTCGCGCCCGTCGTGGCCCCATATGCATGCCCTTCATGGCCCCGCTGTCGCCCTTTGTGGCCCCCTCGCTGCCCTTCGTGGCCCCGTGGCTGCCATCAGCGGCCCCGTCTTTGTCCTCTGTGGCCTCGGATTTTATGCCCTTTGTGGCCCATGCTGGCTTTTTTCACGATTTACTTAGGCATCGCGCTATCGCTCGAGACTCCCTCGCGATTCATGCAGGGCCCACGCTTCAGCAACCCGCCTGCTCGACCTCGTCGCCGGGGCCCTTCTTCCCGACCTGCCCGCTATGGGTCTGCCCACCCGATCTGCCCGTCCGGTTCTACCACTTTTTTTCTGTTCCTTGCCCCCTTCCTGCTAATTTGTTTCGTGCTCCATTATTTTCCCTCCCACTTCCACACGTCCTCTCTTTCCTTGTTATAGGGGCTGCACTAAATACGCGTGGCAGACAAGGAAGTATACCCCCAAAGGGGTACGATCGAAAACGACGAGGGTTGGTACCGAAGGGTTGGGATTTCCGTATTCATTAGCACGTGAACAGATGGGAGCGAACAGTCTTAAAATGATTGTTGTTGTTGCTGTTGTTGGTGTCGCCGTTGTTGTTGTTGTCGTCGTCGTTGTCGTGGTGGCTGTTGTTGTGGCTGTGGCTGTGGTTGTTGTTGTTGCTGTTGCTGTTGTTATTTTGGTTGTTGTTGCTGCCGCTGTTGTTGTTGTTGTTGTTGTTGTGGCTGTTGTTGCTGTTGTTGTTGTTGCTGCTGTTGTTGTTGTTGTTGTTGTTGTTGTTGTTGTGGTTGGGGTTGTAGTTGTTGTTGTTGTTGTTGTTGTTGTTGCTGCTGCTGCTGCTGCTGCTGTTGTTGTTGTTGTTGTTGTTGAACATTATTAATTCTAAAGAATAATTATTGTTGGGACCCCTGGTGCGCGCCCCCCCCGCCGCGCCTAGGCCGCAGCTTCATTTTCATAATTTTCGTGAGGAAGCCTCAGGCAAAACGATGTGGTCCAGATCCGGTTGTGTTGTTACGATCGGTTTTCCCTTGCAAAAAATAAGGCAAAGTTGACATTTCTTGTTCTAACATGACCAAACTTCAAGAATCCCTTGCAAAAAATGACACGAAGTGCACATTCGCGCGCGCAAGACGAAATCCTTCCAAAACCTTAGTCTTCGTAGCGATTTTCACATAAAAACATGAAAAACCCAATGGTTTTTCAAAAAAAGGGTTTCAAAAATTCACCCCGCGCGCTCTTGCGGATTTCTTAGGAAACCCAATATTTTTTCAACATTTCTGTCAAACGGGCTCTTGCGAGCAACTTTTTCACGTGCTTCGAACTTCTGCAACAAAGGTTGCGCGCCTGCCAGGGCCATCATCCCTGTCAAATAATACCATGTGGGACACATTCGTTTTTTCTTCGCGCGCGCACGCCGTCGTCGTCGGCCGCGGGGCCCTGAATAGTAGCCACGGTCGTCCGCATGCCACGAAGTGAAGTGTCCGAACGTCATAGGGCGGGAAGCTGGGTGTGGGTGGTGGCGAAGAGTCGTATGGAAATTTGGTAGAGCTTGAACCGGCCCCCCCACAAAGTGGGGGTATTGCCCGCCTCCTATGAAAACCCCGGCACTGGTGAGAACGGAGTGTCCCCAGTCTTAAATGATTGTTGTTGTTGTTGTTGTTGTTGTTGTTGTTGTTGTTGTTGTTGTTGTTGTTGTGGTGGTGGTGGTGGTGGTGGTGGTGATGGTGGTGGTGTTTTTTGTTTTAATGCATACACTATGTCCTTTTATAGAGAATCATGTCTCGAGGGGGCCTGGCTCAGGCTCCTCCACTCGCAGAGCCAGGGCCCAGCCGGGATCCGCCCTGTGGCGGTCCCCAGGGAGGTGCGTGTAGGCCGCCCGTCCGCCCCGCAGGCCGCCACCTTCCAGGAGGACGCGGAGGTCTCTCAGCGCGTGGCTCTGTGCTTCGCCGAGGAGGTGCCGTCCTCGGCATCTGCAGATCGCGCGACCGCCGACCTACTTCCTCCTCCTCCTCCTCCTCCTTTTCTTCTTCCTTCTCCTTCTCCTCCTCTTCCTCTTCCTCCTCCTCCTCCTCCTCCTCTTCCTCCCCCTCCTCCTCCTCCTCCTCCTCCTCCTCCTGCTCACAGGCGGACTGCCCAGTGCCTGTTTCGGGCAAGGCAGCAGCGTGACAAGCTGGAGCTTGAGGTACAGGAAAAGGCCGAGCGGATCGCGGAGCTGCAGAAGGCCCTGGAGACTCAGCAGGGGCTCCTGGAGTCCAAGAGGAACGAGGTGCTGGCGCTCGACACGGTGTGCAAGCGCACGGCTCTACTCGTTGCTGATACCACGGGGGCTTCTTCCCAGGAGCCATCCTCCATCAAGGTCGAGCTTGCGCCCGAGGCCGTGGAGGACGTGGGCCTGCAGGCTTTCTTGGGGACGGCGGAATGGAACAAGTTCAAGGAGATTATCAAGGGCAAACTCAAGGAGACGTTGCCCCAGCGTGCTCAGGCGGGCCGTCCTGCTCCTGTGCCTTCTAGTGGCGCCGCTCATGATGTAGATGGTGAGGGTGGTGTCGACATGGCCGTCGACGACGACGAGATCGACATCGACCTGCTCGAAGGGGAGGACTTCGGTGAGCGCCAGGCGGCCTTCGTCAAGGCTGCCGAGGAGCTGCGTGAAGCGGCCAAGGGGCCTCAGGAGCAGCAGGACGAGGCCAAACGCAAATACCGAGAGGCGGCAGCTCGGCTGGGTGTCCGGCGAGCGCGTGTTGGTCCCCCGCAGCGGGTTTGACGACCTGGAGTGGCCTGAGCTTGCCTCGGTGCCACCGGCCTGTGGAAGGCCTCGGCGAGGCGCTTCGTGGTCGGGATCGACGGGGTCGGCCTCCTCTTCGGTACAGGTATCGCCCCAGGTGGCCAGGGACGTGCATTCCCCTGGACTGGGGGCCCATGTGGCCAGATAGGTGCGTTCCTCCGGACTGGGGGATCCTGCTCATCGGACTTGCCCTGCGCTCGGATCTGGTGGGCTGCGACCTGGTGTGGCTGGGCGCGGTGATTCCGAGGAAGAGCGCGGGGGTCCTGGTGCAGCGTCGGCGAGGAGTTGCCCAAGAGCAGCCACATCGCAGGACGATCTACGTGAGGAGCGTGACGAACTGGGGGCCTGAGGCCCGTGAGTTGGTGAAGGACCCCCTCTTTGGAGCTGATGTGCTTGGCCTGTTGGAGCACCATGCCAGAGGCACCAAGTTTGATGATATGTTGTGCGAATTTGATGGGTATGCGTGGAAGGCCACAGGCAGCCCAGCGCGCCGCTTCAAAGACATCGACAGCTCGGGGGGGGCCATCGTGGCGGCTCGTCGACACCTTCAGTCCGCATCGATTGGCCACTTGGCCATGTACCAAGATCAGACGCGCGGCCAGCTTCGACGCCGCAAGCCTGAGCCTGAATTTCGAGCAGGGCCTGTGGAAATGTCTGACGTTGCGGCCCTTATGGTGGCCATGTCGAAGGGCTTCCTGACGGTGGTGGCCATCTACCTTGCGACGGGGCCTGGCGCCGTGGGAGGGGATTGGATTGTTCTCGGGGGCTGGAATGTCCCACCAGACGAGCTTACCTCCAGCGGATGGGTTCAGTACCTTCGTGGTCGTAGCATGCAGCCAGACAGCGCGAGCATCACCCAGTACGCTGGAGGGCGAATGTTGGACTACGCGGTGGTGGGCGTCCCTGGCTTGTACCGTCCGTCTCGTTTCTTCGCGGGCACGTCTGGCAAACGGAAGTCACAGGTGGGTTTGGTGGCCCAGCGCGACGCTGTCCCTGCGAAGGTGGAAGCCATGGTGCTTCCCGCGCCTGCCATGTTCTGCCGCCTCCCAACCCTGCCGCGGCAAGGGGCCCGAACTCCAAGCGCAGCCTCAGGCTCAAGGAGCAGGAGGAGGCTAGGCAAGCAGCCCGTGCTAGTGACTTTGAGGAGAACCCTACCGTGGACAGCCCCACCCCACCATCGGTCCCGCTACCTCCGATGTTTGGCGATGCTGGAAAGCAGGGGGGGCCGACCTTCCCTTTTGCAGACTGCGAGTCTCCGTGGGCGGGTCGCCGTGTTGTTGATTCTGCTGGTACTGGCGAGTCTTATGTTGATTCGCGGTGTTGATGTCCCAAAACGGCGTTCTGGCACGATTCCGGATCGTCAAGACGCAGCAGGCAGGTTGATCCGTGGCATTGCACTCCCGAGAACCATGTTTTGGCATGCTTCAGGGTCTTCAAACGGTTGCCGTTGGACCGTTGTAGGGGCCTATGAAGAGGGAGCTTGGCGGGAGGGTCAATTCGAACATCGTTGATGGTTTTTGGGTTTACACTGGTCCTCCTCCTCCTCGTCCTCCTCCTCCTCCTCCTCCTCCTGTTCCTCCTCTCGATCCGTGGCAATCGCGGATCGCGCGGCCGCCACTGGTGCGACCCTCCCCAGACCTCTGGCGGCACAAGTTCCCAACCATCCTGTGGTGTTGGGTCCTCGTTTTGAAGAAAAGGTTCCCGCGTCTCCTCCTTCCGTCCCCCTCCCCCAGTGGGGGTACCACATGCGTCCGCCACACCCAGTACAGCGTTTCGTGGCCCCATAGGGAGCTCCACGTAAAAGCCCCAGTGGGGGTACCACACGCGTCCGCCACACCCAGTACAGCGCTCCGTGGCCCCATAGGGAGCTCCACGTGAGGCCCCAGTGGGGGTACCACATCCGTCCGCCACACCCAGTACACCGTTTCGTGGCCCCATAAAAGGCTCTACGTAACGCCACGGTGGGGGTACCACATGTGTCCTCCACACCCAGTACACCGTTTCGTGGCCCCATAAGGAGCTCCACGTGAGGCCCCAATGGGGGTGGCCACATGCGTCCGCCACACCTAGTACAGCGCTTCGTGGCCCAATAGAGAGCCGTACCCAAGGCTCCAGCGGGGGTGGCCACATGCGTCCGCCACACCCAGTACAGCGTTTCGTGGCCCCATAGGGAGCTCCACCCAAGGCCGCAGTGGGGGTGGCTACATGCGTCCGCCACACCCAGTACAGCGTTTTGTGGCCCCATAGGGAGCTCCATCGGAGGCCCCAGCTGGGGTGGCCTCGTGCGTCCGCCACACCCAGTACAACGTTTCGTGGCTCCACAGGGAGCTCCAACGAAGCCCCCAGTGGGACCGCCCGCATGCGTCCCGCACGCGCAATTTGACATTTTCACCCACTCAGTACAACGTTTCGTGGCCCCAATAGGAGCTCCACCGACGCCCCCAGTGGGACCGCCCGCATGCGTCCCACACCCAACTTGGCAGATTCACCCACCCAGTGCAGCGTTTCGTGGCCCCATAGGGAGCTCCACCGAAGCCTCCACTGGGACCGTCCGCGTGCGTCCCGGAAACCCAATTTGGTATTCCCACCCACCCAGTGCAGCGTTTCGTGGCCCCATAGGGAGCTCCACCGAAGCCCCCAGTGGGACCGCCCGCATGCGTCCCGCACGCGCAATTTGACATTTACACCCACCCAATACAGCGTTTCGTGGCCCCAACAGGGAGCTCCACCGAAGCCCCCAGTGGGCCCGCCCACATGCGTCCCACACGCCTAATTTGGAAGTTTCGCCCACCGGTTACAGCGTTTCGGAGCCCCATAGGAAGCTCTACCGAAACCCCCACTGGGACCGTCCGCGTGCGCCCCGGAAACTTAATTTGGCATTCTCACCCACCCAGTACAGCGCTTCGTGGCCCCATAGGGAGCTCCACAGAAGCCCCCAGTGGGACCGTACGCGTGCGTCCCGCACGCGCAATTTGACATTTTCACCCACCCAGTACAACGTTTCGTGGCCCCCACAGGGAGCTCCACCGACGCCCCCAGTGGGACCGCCCACATGCGTCCCACATGCCCAATTTGGCAGTTCCACCCGCCCTGTACAGCGTTTCGTGGCCCCATAGGGAGCTCCACCGAAGCCCCCAGTGGGACCGCCCGCATGCGTCCCGCACGCGCAATTTGACATTTACACCCACCCAGTACAGCGTTTCGTGGCCCCATATGGAGCTCCACCTACGGCCCCAGTGCTACCGCCCGCATGCGTCCCCCCCCACCCAGTGCAGCGCTTCGGAAGAAAATATTCACAATTGCGGTGCCCACAACTGCACATGGTTCGGTTCTTCGCCAGGATATTTTTTTTCAGCCCCTGCGCTTTTCCTTGACTTCGGCCTCTTGGGCCCGTCGGTGGGTCCCGCGGGGCCGTCAAAGGTGAATCCGCGGCTCGAAGAAGAACAAAACGGTATAATCATCAACTTTTGGCGGGGCCCAGCGCAGATCCAAAAGATCCGCGCGGAGCGCCAAAAGTTTATGTTCATTTCGTTTTTTATTCCAGGGACGCCACTCTTCCCCTGGTCAAGGGGTCGGAGCAAATGGGGCCGCGCGCTGACCACCAGGGGCATCGCCGCATGTGTGGGGCACCGGCCCGACGCCCATCAGCCCATCTCTGCGGCGCTGCCCGCCGCGATCCAGACCGCGACAGGACGGGGAGGCCGTCCCCAGAACTCCGACGCCAATCTTATTGTGCAGCGCTTGCCCCAGGAGATCGGGGCCCGGGTTATGATGTTGCAACCTGCCTTAGCCTTGATCAGCAACAAGAAATTCGAGCACCAAGACAGTACCGAAACCGGAGGGTTTTCTTCACGTGTCGGACCCTGGGAGGCGATACTAGTTGGACACTGTTTCGATCCTTTTTCTCTGGGTGCTCGACATTATTTAATCGCTTCGCTCATTCCGCCGGCCCATATTGTCGCACCGTTGTGGGCTAGCCGAGTTTGGGGCCTCTTGGGGGCCGTTTTGGGGCCTCTTGGGGCCTCTTTTGGGCCTCTTGGGCGCCTCTTGGGGCGTCTTGGGGGCCTCTTGGGGGCCTCTTGGGGCCTTTTTGGGGCCTCCTGGGCGCCTTCTGGGGCGGAGGGCTCGATTTTTCAGTTCTCGGTTCCCCTCTTGAGCCCCTCTTGGGC